TCCTAATGTGGGCAGCACCATGGGGCTGATGTGATTACAAAGGAGAAAAAGAACTGAGTAAAGAACAGTCCAGATTCTCTGCCTCAGGTCTGTGTGGGTACAATGGGACCAGCAGCCTCAAGCTTCTGGTGATCTTATGGTCTGATCCCCCAAACTATAAACTCAAATAAACCCTTACTTCCTCACATCGCTTTGACTGGGCATTGTATTTTGGTCAGGATGCACGAAAAATAATGAACACAGACAGCGACCTTCAATCATGACCGTGATAGCGAGAGGACCTGTTGAGAGGCTGATCCTCAAGAACAAGAGGCACTGTCTCAGGACCCCATTAGGTTAGGGGCCCTTTAAGGCTGGCAGAGTAACCCCTTCCTACTCAGAATTTGGTTGAGCTCTTTGCACCTCAGCATGCTCCTGTTGATTCTGGGTTCACTCCAGAGAAGGAGAATTCTCTACTGATCTGTGAGTTCCGGCTTGAGGCTTTGAAAGACTCAGCCCATTGTATATTTGAAGTAGGATTTTCCTTAGTGGAAAAAAAATCTTTCTCCATTATTTCAGTTCACTTGACAACGAGATAATTCATAGATTCAAAGTGACATTCTGAACTGACTGTTTAAACTGGCTGAGCTGGATCATCTTTTGCCTCTTTCCCTCAAACACACATATTTGAGAAACTAAACTAAAAATGCGCCAGTATGGTGTGAAGATAATTCATTCCTGGACTCCAAAACTCTTCCTTCTAAATAAACCCCCGCATCTCTAAAATTAGTCTTTTCAACGCCGTCTTTGTTTTTTTGATGCTTCAACCCTCCTTGTAGAATAAGATTGTAGCCCACCGTGCCATGCTTTCCTGGGGGGCAGGACTGGGTCTTTATCTAAAAGATGAAAAATTAGTGTGCCATTATTTAGGTTCTGATGAATGTGTAAGCATAAAAGGCCCTATTCCATCTGGCTGTCTTCACAGGGGACCAAGAGAAGACAGGGTTGTTGATGGCCAGACCACTTCAATTCTATCAAGACTAAAAAAGGAGTAAAGAGAGATCTCGATTGCCAGGAAACAGAAGCCAGGCAAATGGGTCCTAATATGGCAAGAACAACTGGATGGTCAACACAGTCTGCTCTAAGTGGCACGAGGGCTTCTTGGTGGCTTTCTGATCCACACCCACCATGGCCATTGCATAAACCTCACAGTCTCCATGACTGTGGCAATGCTAATTCATACTTGGTCTCTGGCTTCCGGTGAAACAAACTCTTTCATGATATAAATGCAAAGCAGAGACCTGATTTGAAGATCCCTGGGAGGCTTTTCTTCTCCGCCTGTTCACGGGCATGACGCACCACTTCCTCTCCAAATCTGGGGTGGGGGTGGGGATGCTAAACATGACTTTCACGTGGGATGCCCAGTTGGTGAGGTCCGAGTTAGGGACTATGGACATTTTGGGCCATCTGCTTGCCACCAGTCTTCAGAGCATCTTTCAGATCCTGAGATGCCTCACTGGAACCTGAGATTCTGTTTCACCGACCTCACCTCCATGTTAAGAGGCTAACAATTTTTGCACGGAAGTCACTGGAGGGAAAGAGAGCAGTTTCTTCATCCGTGTCAAAACTCAAGCAAATCCACTCACAGCTTCTTGGTCTGGCATGACTGTCCTTCAGATACGTGTACTCCAAGTGTAGACAGAAAAAGAATCAAATAAAAAGATGTGCTGACTTTGCTGCATGAGTTGTATTCTCACCCGAAACAAACCTGTCTTGCCCCATCCCCTCTGAGTAGCACTAGTAATGTCCGGAGTGCCTGTGCTGGAGACCACTGTACTCTGTATTGTATCAAGTGTGGTCAGAATCAACTCAGAACATGTGATAGTCAAATTTAGAGGGGAACTTGACTAAGTGATGCCCAGATGGCTGGTAAAACCTTTGGAGTGTGCCTGTGAGGGTGTTTCCAGACGAGATTAGCCTTTGATTTTGAAGACTGAGAGAAGAAAGAAGATCTGCCCTCACCAATGTGAGTGGGAGCCGCCCCATCTGTTCAGAGACTGAATATAGCCAAGGAGAAGTGTGGAGTCGCTCTTTCTCTGCTTCTCTGGGAGCATCTGTCTTCTGCCCTAGGATGTCACTTCTGGTTCTGAGGCCTTTGGACTCATATTTATACCACTGGCTTTTCTGGGCACCCAGCTTGCATTCAACAGATCATGAAATTCCCTAGTTTCCATAAGGCATCTTCTATAAGTATATGTGTGTGTGTGTGTGTGTGTGTGAGTGTGTGTATTCTGTTTCTCCAGAAAACCTTCACTAACACATATGTATGTATCAAAAAAGCTGCTCAGAGACACAATAAACAGCTTATCTTTTATGTATTTTGCCTTTAGTATTGCTGCTGCTGAACTCAGAAAGCCTCTATTTCCTCAGAAATTAAGAAATCCACTTTAAAATAGCACCATGACCAAGGTTTCCCGTTTATTTACAAGTTCATTTAAAAACAGACCTAAAGGGATTTTCCTTTTCATAGTTCGAGTCAAGAAATACGTTGTCATTACAAATGATAAGAAGATTTATCTGTGATCGCTTTCAGGAGACAACACCTCCATTTGTGAGGAGGGTCGGGAGATAGAGGAAAGGGGGAAGGAAAGAATACAGACATTTTTTGCCAAGAGAGAATTTGCTAGTCTCTAATTGTAAGTATATCTCCCCTTCCTTGGATGCCAGAAAAATTTCCTATCATATCAAAATGTTTTCTGCAAGTATCAATGGGGTTTTTAGCTCTAAGCTTAAGGCATTTTATACACTTTTTTAAAAATATTCTGTCTCCAAGTGTAGACAGAAAAAGAATCAAATAAAAAGATGTGCTGACTTTGCTTCATGAGTTGTATTCTCACCCGAAACAACGTGAAGATAACGTGAAGATACCGTAAAGACTGACAACGATGCCCTTGTATAAATGTATATATATATATACATATATATATATATATACATTTAAATCACAGCACAAGAAAGACCATAGTCTGTTTACCTTCTTCAGAAAACAACAACAAAACGGCGACTGTCCATTCTTTCAAGAACCAACTGCTTGCAATGATCCAGGGCACAGTGATCATCTCATGTGCTTTCAGGTCTCCATCATTACATGAGCTTTTAGTGTTTTCAGGTTGCTAGCTGGCCACTACTCTCTGAGGGCTGACGGCGTATTGTTTTGAGTTTGTTCACATGGTGGATTTATTTGCAGCTACACAACCCAGGTGTGAACATAGACACATTTCTTTTTTTTTTGGTCTAAAGACGTACAGGGACATGCGATGTGTCTGTCTGGGGTCACTTTCATGGCATCCTGGCGTTTATAAAGTGCAGCTCAGCACAGCGCAGAGCAAACACAAGCACTTTACACGGAGAACGCCAGGCTCCATTAACCACTTGAAGTCCCCGGAGGGAAATGTCATTTCATTAGGAGGCCTCTTGGCTGCTAATCAAGAGCCTTCCATTTCCTTAAGCATATTGATTTGGGAACAACTTTACTTCTCTGAAAAGCAAACAGTTCAAGAGGTACTCTCTGACAACACACCTAGAGAACGTGTTTCTCTTGGGCAAATAGAAACATGGTAAAATTACCTAGGACTCAAGCAGAATGAAAGCCTGGCATCTTTTCTCTGATGAGATGTTACTGACCAGACCGAATCCTTTAGCCATCTTGATGACCATCAAGGCCCTCCATTGCTCTGAGCATCCTATTTGTGAAACACTTGCAGCAGTGATTTATATGCAGAATAATACCAGGTCAGCATTAACGTGAAGATTCCATTTCGACTTAGACCCTCACAGTAAACTATAGTAGATATCAGAAGACAGCCAGGCACTGCTTTGGGTCACTCGGTTTGAAGAATGAACCACACTACGTTTTAATGTGGATTTGTAATTCCAGGCACAGAGTCAGTGCTTAGCAAATGTAAGTGAGATATGAAACTCAGTGGGCAGCACTGCAATGTCTGTTCATACTTAACTCTCCCTCAAAAAGGGCAAAGTCAAATAAACACTAGAACACAAACCAATGCGTGTCTCCCGTTCCCTTCTGTGACTCTTTTCATCTGAAGTCCATTTCAAATCGACTTTAAAAAAATACTTTCAAATAATTAAAATAAAAATTTCTTTAAAACGTTTATCATTTATGCGCACATGTATGTGTACGTTTGTGTGCTTGTATGTACACAGGTGTGTGCAGGCACAAGAAGAGGGAGACTGATGCTGCAAAGCTGGAGTTACAAGTGGTGTGAGCCGCTAGATGCGGGGACTGGAAGCTGAAGCAAGAGCAGCAATGCTCTTAACTGCGGAGCCATGTCTCTACCCCTCAAACCATAGTTCTTAGATAGGATACTCTTCACGTATAATACAAAGAAGTGTCCTGTGCTACAAAGATTATAGGGTTCGTGATCCGTCTCCATCCTTGCTCTGATCTCTCCCACATAGCCACCTGCCATGGCCGTGTTCCTCTGTCCATTGATTCCCAGTGACATCATCTGAAAATTATCTACAGGTCATGCTAACTAGCCTGTGAGTTTTCACTTCTTCCTTGCAGGTAAAGCCTCATCACACTATCAGAAATTGTGACAAAGGAGAACATAAGATCATGCATTCATATCCTGATGGTGCTGGTTGGCTTGTGGAATCTGCACCATGGGAGTGGCTTGTTCCTTCCTCCAGATTCCACATTGTCACCCTGCTTGTAACCACAGGTAAAACTTTTGCAATCTTGCTTAAATCCCGAATGTTTTCTCTGGTTGGGGACCTTCTAGCCACTGTTGTCCCACCCTGCAAACCAGCACTGCAAGTTAAAATACTCTTGTTGATGTACACATTCCTATTTCCCATTGTTAACCCCCCCACATCCCCCCTTTATGAGCTGGGAATAGAGATGCCATGGTAAAATAAAGTACATCATGGTTTTCCATTTCCTTTCCTCTGGATCCATAGACTGCCTTTTGGCCAGAGTCAGCGTGAAAACTGGTGGGCCACAGGCAAGCAGTTCATTGTGCTCCATTAAGGAAGACTCAATAAAAGGACTGTAAAGAAGCTCATGCCACTAGGATGAATGAGAAGAAAATACACCAGAAACAGAAAGGTGAGCGAATTCTAACCTAACGAGTTAATTAGCTTCATATGACAATTAGAGAACCATTCAAAGCTTATGACACGAGAAAGCAGTAGTTTTCATTATCTTTCCTTGTGTCATATTCATCTACTTCTTACATAAAAGCAAAACAAGGCTGAAGGCTTCAAGAGGGGTCTACATATTTGTTACCCCGTCTAGTGATACTTGGGAGTAATTATCGGTTCTGGAAGTTAATTATTTTCTATTCATTGAGATGAGTCTATTTGCACGTTCTAATGAACTCGTATGAATTTTGGTGAACTTAAAAGACTAATGGGAATAAAAATAAGAAAATAGGAGAGTAAAGTGCAATTAAAACAATAAATCAACTTATATTTTATTGTCTGCAAGGAGGGTTCTCCTAAGACTATAAAAAATACAGTACTGGCTGTAATAGGAGTTCTCTACTCAGAAACACTGATAAAACAGGATAAAATAGTGAATGGACTTTGGTTTCACACAGGGTGAGATGTACACACCTTCTGTGGCCATTTTTCCACAAAGAAATAACATTCAGACATTTGCACAAAGTCTCCTAAGGCTTTGTTCATGTCCCATCCCTCTTTAATCTCTCTCTCCGTCTCCTGCACACTCTGTCTGCACACACAAACAGGCCAGTCTCCCAAAACTTTACATTCCTTGACTATTCATTCTCACCTTAACGAATTGTCCTTCCTTCCGGGAAATCCTGGTTTTTCCTTTGTGGGGTGACTGTACGGCCACCTCCCTCTGAAAGCATCTCCAGGATGTCCGGTTTTATGGCTCTGACTGTTCACATCTCATTTGCTGCCTGTACCTGTGTCCTAGATGCCGCCTTACCTGTCAATCTTCTCTCATAGATAGACCAGGCTTCCTAAGGCTGCCATGCATTTCTAAGTCCCTTTTGTGTTGCTAGTACCCGGAACATAATGGGTAACCCATAAAGGATGGGGAGTAAACAGAACAAAGAAGCAAGGAGAAATGTGGCTACTCAACAAAACCCGAGGTGCTGGTGGCTGTTATGTTCAAGAACAGGTGCACAAAGATAATGAGCCCGTAGAGAAGTAAATATTGTTAGTCATGCAGAAAGATGAGAAGTAGGGAAAAGTGACATTGAGTCAGTAAAATTGTAACCACATGCTAAGCTAAGGTGCCTTTCATATATAAATCTTTTCTCCCCTTTTGGAGCTTGCTTGAAGGTACTCCTTCAATCAAAGGTCAGTGGTGATTTTATAGGCACCTGCAGAGATTCTGGAAAAGTTTCTACCAAATATGAAATAGGATTACCCAGCAAAACAATGAGAGACAGGGCCCATAGGTATGGGTTCCTTCTGTCTTGACTAAAGGCCAGAGAGTTGGAATTTCTGTTCTCTCAAGGCTATTGTCAACAGGTGTGGCTAATAGCCAGACCCGGTATTTCAGGTATTAAGAAGTAGATCTGTTTCTCCCTCGAGCAAAAGTCGAAGAATCCCACTAGGTTCCACTCCCTTAGGGGCTTAACTATGGATTCCACCCAGGGAGTGGTTTGCCTTCAGAATGTTTTGGTGTAGGGTGTGGGCGTTACTTATCTTGTTCTGGCAACAGAGGAGAATGTAGTCAGTCACCCCACAACGGGTCTGTTCATTCCCTGTTATGTGAATGCAGTCTTTTTTCTCTTACCTTTTGGAGTCTGGGTATTTAAGCCAATGGAAATTAAACATGGGCGACTTTTGGCATTCACTGAATGTCCCTCCTAATACTATCTTGTTTCTGTTTCTTGTTTCTCCTATGTCTATGTTCCTTTTGCCTAATCATTCTAATCCTCAAGCTCCTACCCTTGAATGTACGAAGCCACCACTAGGAGCCGGGCAGAAGTCACTCTGAAAAGGTGGCTATGACAAACGAGCAGAGGAAGAAAATTGGCTCATGAATAAGGAAGTAGCCGCTAAATCTGTGAGATCCATACCAGGCTTTGGATGAGAGACTTGGAGAGTGTGTTTCATCTTGAGATTTCCAGAGCAAGATCAGGTAGTAAACAATCTAGTTACCGTTATCTGCAGGTTATGAAGGAAGATGGTGTGTGTAGAGTGTGCCGGAGGGAAACAGAGGCTGGGGAATGACTGTAATAGCATACCTGCTCAGGTGCAGCCTTTGAAATGGATAGCATCTAATGCCAAGACCTCACCAAGTAGAGGAGCCGTGAGAACACATGGGAGAAGAATATTTGGGGCAGGTGGGATGTGTCCCTGAGATCAGAGGGAGTTCAGAGTGTCTGAGAGATCCAAAAAGAGGCCACTGTGGGTGGGACATAGAACAGAAGCTGTTCCCATAATGAGCATGCAGAAACAGAGCAAAGGCAGCCAGGCAGTGCTTTAGGGGTCAAACACTAGAATCTGGATTTCCTTCTTGGAGTGAAAACAGATTTATACTTGATACCTGACGCTTTGCCTGCTGTGTGGCAGAGAGTTGATAATAGGACCGTAATTTGAAGCAGGCCAGTGAGGACAGTAGCTTGAAAGAGAGATGGCGGTTGCACAAGTCAGATCCTGGCAGTGACAATGAGAAAAATCAAAATTATAGTGATTATTTGACCAGAGGGCATCGAAAAGAACACGGTTTCCATAAACGTAAAAATTGAGTAGAAAGTTGCGTGTGCACAAGGAATGGGGCTAGATAAATTTTCAGGGCAATAGCAACACAGAGGTGAACGGGAATCGGGCAGTGACAACAGACGAGGGCAGAAGAGGCCACGCTGTACACAGTCGGGTTGTGCGGAGCCTTCCTCATCAGCAGAACAAAGTGGCTATTGAGATTATAAGCATAAAAGTGACTTCGTGACTTTAACTTTGCGTATCTTTCACTAAAATGCAAAGAATTTGCTGGAAGGCCATGGGTGGGGTCTCAGCCCACCACTTCAGGCAGTAGAGCTTCCCAAGGGGTCTCCTGTGCGAACCGAACAGGAAGGGTAACCAGACCCCTCACGTGATAGCAGTAGCGGGCCTCTCTCTCCCTTAGTAAATCCTTGGCACTTATTTCTCAAATGGTTTTGCCCTGGGAAGGTCTGGGGAAGCTGTTTCTTCTTGGTCCTGCCCTTCACCCTCAGCTCCTGCTCTTGTTTCCCCTGCCAGTGCATGGTGGTTAAAAGAAAAAAAAATATGCCAAGTTAAATCCATGATGTCACGTTTATGCATATAGCCTCAAATACATCAGGCGGGCAGTGGGCTGAGACAGAGTGGAAAAAAGCTCTCCCGTGGATTAATGTATGTTATTCTGGTGCAGTCCGTGAATAGAATGAGTGACTAATTCTTCCATATGACATTGGCGTTTACACATTAGAAGCATTACATGCTTTTAAAAAGAGCAGCAGGCTAAACCAGGAACGATGAGGTATTCCCCTCTCATTATACTGTGTATAATCTGAATAACAAGAAACCTTGATGGAGAACATCTATGCTTGCCAGCAATTGCTCCACTTGCCAATAATCTGCCCTGCCAACAGAGAGGTTGAAAATGAGATAAAAATAGTGTACAATCCTACAAGGTCATGGGAATTGAGTTGGGGGAGAGTGATAAGAACGCAGACAATTGCAGTAAGATGCAAAGTCTTAGTCACACGTCATGATGGGATCCTTATCTGTAGCTACCACACCAGCAGCGAGCAATTCGTGTGTAGAAGTCCACACGCAACTGTGCTTTCTTTCCCATTCGGATACCATTTTTACGGGTTAGTTTCATAAATACTAGTGTGGTCAAATAAGATTAGAATTCCGTTTTCAGGCTTCCTATCAGACCAGGGCACAAAACTCAGTTATCATTCTAGTTTAGAGAGAGTCGAACCCTCGGCTAATTTAAATGCTCCTTTTTGTAGATTTTAGTCAGAATTCAACCCAGAAAATGCAACTGGGGTGTGCACCTAAGAGGCAGACGTGTGCTGCCTTTGAGAGGAAAAGCTCAGCTGTTAATTTTCACATCTATTAGCCAATCAAAGGTTATTGCGAATTAAACGTCAGGGCTTGCTCAGCACAGGCTTTTGGATCTATCTATCTTAGTGTGATTGTTCCATTTAACCAGGCTGTGTTCAAAACGAGAATGAAGTTTAGCCAGCTGTGCGTGTGCTTAAACAGAAGATAAAGGTTCCTACGGGAACACAGATTACCCCAGACAAAGCCACGGGCCACAAGTTGGACATGGTTTTCAGCCTCTTCATTTTTTGCTCCGCAAGATAAGGTGAGGTATGCAATGGGCGACGCCGGTGGGATAGTTAATTTTAACCCCCATATCAATAAGCAGAGGCCTTTTCAAGTTATAAAAAAGTGTGCCATTCCTGTTATCAACTGGAGAGAATGAGGTCATTGTTCTCATAACCCAACCATAAAAATCTGGCATGTACCAGACGGTTGGATGAAAGAACACCTTGGGCTGGAAAAGAATCTCCTGCACCCAATGAGATCTGTTTTAAATTGAGCAAGAATCACATCGAATGCTGACTTTTCTCTACAACTCAGCATTTAAATTCAAAGAAAGAGATTTCACGCGGTATCTCAGGAACTCAGTTTGATAGTTGCTTAGCAGTACTTTCCTTGCCGTGTGCCTTCTACACAGCATATAAAACTTAGGACAGACGTCGATCTAATTTTGATTATTACCACCTTTCAAGATTATCAGCCCACCCCTGGATTGGCTCTATCAATAAAGTCTTAAGAACTTGGAAATCAGGCACGCACACATAAATTAAGGATTTACTGAATGAAAATAACTTGGCATGAGTAAACAAAACATCCTATAGGCAGAGGGTGGTAGACAACGAGAACGGGAGGAAAAGCTTCCTAGGAGCTGATATTGCTTGGGGGTAGAGAAGTTGTTCGCTTTGCTCTGCCCAGCCTGCCTAACATTCTTCCTGCCTCCTCAAAAGAAGCTTGGCTTAGATATTACCGGAGGGATCTTTGGGTTCTGCAATTTTCTGTCTTTGATGTGGTTGCCAAGATGGAATAATTTAGAATTCCTTTTATTTTTCAAAGAGAATATCTCACATAAGTTTAATTTTCAACCCCGAACTCACGTGACTGAAACTCAAGGGAGGGCAGGGACAATCGGAACTCAGGGGCCGTTCTTCGGCCGGGGGACAAGAAAGGGTGGAACTCCCACTTGGAGTTCCGGATTCCTACTGCTGCTTGTCACCCTTTTACCCAGACCTGGCGTCCCTACCCTCACCAAAACCTCAAGTGAATCCCTCCACACTGAAATGTATCTTTGTTCATGTGTTGAAATGTCAGATACAAACCCTGGATCAAAAATCACCAGACTTACTAATTGGGGTTTTACTCTTTCTCCAGATCCAGTAAAGACACCTATAGAAATCAACAAAAATAGAGAAAACCCTTGGAGGGGTAAATACCTAATGCTGTCTACACTATAGTCTGTGCAGAAGATATTTTAAGTGCGTTCTTACCCCACGACTTAACTTACCCAGACATCCTCCATATTCCAGCTTAGCCTTAAAGACTTTGCTTTTATGTCAAGCAGTCAAGTATCTCTCTTTCCAGTGTGACCTTCGGTTCCAGTTTCCAAGAACCCCAGTTAAATATGGCACCAAAAAGTTTTTAAATTTTGCTCTAATTCTTTTGTCAGATACTGTATTATGAAAAATGTCATTTCGGGTTTTTTTTTCCTTTGTTTTCATTGTTGGGGGGCAGTGGTGGTGGTACTGAGGTGGGGGTCAACCCCAGCCCTTGTACATTACTGAATTAAATCTCCAGCCTTTCCAGACCTTTCTTCTCATTTCTTTGATGCTGTGATTCTTTTCCATTGACAACACAGGTTTGTCTATAAGGCACAAACTGTCCAGAGGCTGGTTTCAAGTGACATGACCTGAGCGGGCTCTTAGCCACGCACATGCTTGAACTCTGACCCAGGAAATGCTTGTCATGGTTTCTACAAACGGCCACAGGAAATTCCAGAAGGCCTAGAAAGCCTCAACTATGCAGTCATATTTGAGAGAGGTTTTGGTGGCTCTCTCTACACACCCCCATAACCCCATTTTGTAATCATTGAACTGGTTTTTGAAGTTCAGAGATGTATAGTACCATCCTATTAGCCCTGTGAGATATTGGTAACCATCACCAGGAAATGGCTGGAGGAAGACGATGTCGGGTGAGTAACGGACTTGGACACTAAAGAGGCCAGTGTCCCCTAGCTTGCAGTAAACAAACCACATTCATGTTTGTTGCAAAGCCAACAAGGAGAACTTTTCCAAAATTGGATTTTGTTTCACTTCTAATTCAATTACTTGAAAGTTCCTAATTGCTCGAAACAAACTTAATTAAAATAAATTACTTTGCCTCAGCAATGGGTTTTGCTTCAACAGAACTGCCATTGATGAAAAACAATTAGACATTTATACACAGACGCCACACTTAAACAGTTTGACTTTGTAAGAACTGTGAGCCCATGCAAGGCCACTGTTTTCCTTCTTTTGCTTTCTTGTCTTAGCATGCATACTAGAGGAAGAAACAGATTCAATTAGCTTCTATGGTTGCTCTGTTTCAATTCTCTTTAGTGTGTTTCATTTAATCAATTGAAAACATTATTTGTGGGAGAGTCAATTTCGTTCGCCGGTTCCCCCCTTTCTTTCATCTTGAAGCTCTCCGTTCTCAGCTGTGTAATTTGTTATATTTGCTGACAGACATATTTGCTTCCCATCTTGCTGGTCAGCTAGAAGTCTCTACATGAGATGCAGATTCTCGCTACCTAAGAATTTGATTAGGAGGAGTACCACATTTGGGTTGGCTAAATTTGATGAATGCTAATTGGTTAATCTGCACGGCTGCACTCAGGAATGGCTTACTGAAAGAGGTACCATGAGGGAGACGAAGGAAACCGTCCTCTGGGTCTTGAGATAATACCATTGACAGCCTTCTCATGAGCGATCCTATTCAGGTGTTCGGTGCGCACTAGAACATGGCAGGGCCGTTTTCAAGATAAAAGTCATCTTTGACTAATCTCAACACTAGCTTATGTTAAGATGACCCAACTCTTCTGATAAGAATCACAGTTGGAGCTGAAAATGCAGCAGGGGTGTAAGGGTCATTAGATCATCACTGCAAAACCTATGCGTGACCTTCATTTCCTCTATAATCAACACAGTAGGCAAAATGTCTGTCCAAGACACTAAGTGGGCAAAAACGTTTATATCTCTCTTCCGTTTGTCAACTTAAATTTGACTCAAACCCTTAGGCTGGCAGGAAATGTAGCCTTAAGTTATTGTTTTGTTTTACTGGGAATATCCCTGTTGGGCAAGTAAGTGTTCTTGTATGCCTCTAGGCCCAGGAGTTCTGAAGGATATCCAGTCACTAACACAAATACAATCCTCTACTAATTGTTTCTATGTTACCTTCAGGCGTGGGGACTCCTGTTGCTACAGTGGGGTCTGGAAGTCTCCAACGGTGCTGGAGTGTTTATATATTGAGGGAACACCCTCTGTAGGTGATTGTATACAGCTAATTCTCCAAAGTCTTGCTAACTCTACAAACTACTCACTGGATACATGTGTGTGCCTACCACCTCCTCCATGTCTTATTTGTTAGGAGACCACTCTCTTACCACCTCCAAAGGCCAAGTCCTTCCTTTCTCTCTTTCAGAACACCCACTTAATCGTAGTTCATTTTAGCTTCTTGCCGTAGTTCTGGAATAGATCTGGAATGGTTCCAAGGTCCATGTGTTGAAATCCTGTTTCATAGAGTAAATTATTGGGATATAGCCGAATCTTTATGAGGTGGAGCTTAGTGGGAGGCAGATAACTCACTGCGGCTGTGCTCTTAAAGGGATATTGGGACCCTGGTTCTTCCTCTTTCTCTTTTTGCTTCCCTGTTGCCAAGAGGTGAAAAGCTTACTCAACCACACCTTTCTACCATGGTATATTTCCTCACTACAGGTCCTAAACAATGCAGTCAATTAACCATGCACTGACAGTCCTAAACCTTCAACTAATTAAAATTTTCTTCCTATACTTTGATTATCTAAGAATTTTTAGTAATAATAGAAAACTGACTAACACATACTCCTATAAGCGACAGAAAGCATCCCCTGCTTCTAACAGAAAATAAAAACAATTACAATAGTACAGTAAATACTAAAAGTTTCTATTTCTTCAAGGCAGCATTTACCCACTAGTAAGTCAGGTAAGGAGTTAAGGGGCAGGGATGGAAAAAGAGAGACAATTCTGACAAATTAACATTTAAACAAATAAGTCATCCCTATCAAATGTATTTTGATTTAGTTTAAAACATTTCTGTGCATGTGTGACTGTGTGAATGTGTGTGTGAGTATGTGTGTGTATGTGTGACTCTGTGTGTATGAATGTGTGTGTGAAGGTGCTAGTGTGTATGTGTGAACATGTGAGTGTGTGCATGTGTGATTGTGTAAATATGTGTGTATGTGTGTGTATGTGTGTGTTGTGTGTGTATGTGTGACTCTGTGTGTATGAATGTGTGTGAATGTGCTAGTGTGTATGTGTGAACATGTGAGTGTGTGTGTATGTGTGACTGTGTGAATGTGTTACTCTGTGTGTGTGTGACTGTGTGTGTGCGAGTGAGTGTGTGACTCCGTGTATGTGTGTTTGAGGAAGGAAGTATGTGTATATGTGTACCACAGAATGTGTTCACGTCAGAGGACAGCGTGCAGGAATCATCCCTCTCCTCTATCATGTGGGTTCTGAGGATCAAACCTTGGTCCTCGGGCTCAGCAGCAGGAGCCTTTATCTGTTGAATCATCTCACCAGGGCTAATGTTAAAGATCGTGATTGTTGGCCAAGTGCCATCTTCTTTGAACCTTCACTTATTGCAATTTTTTTATGCTGAACTGTCCCTAAAAACACAGGTTAGTGAAATAGAGAAAAGCAGAAGATGCTTGGCAAAACTCACTGGCCAGAAATTTGTAGCCAAACTAGGAGTACGCCGCCCTGCATGGAGAGCACTATTTCTGCATCTGCATGGAAACCCCTTGTCATGGGCAGTGCTAGGACAATTTGTCAGATAAACACATGATGTTCACTCAAGATAGATAGCACACAGTGTTCTGCTTTTGCTTGAATGTGATTAAAAACAAAACTCTTCCACCTAGCTAACCAGGATGACAGAATCTTAATTCAAAATAGCAAATGACCCTGATAGAGTCTTTAATCTTCCTTTTGAAACTTCAGAAGCCAGGCTGCCATATTCTACACTGTTCTCTATATTCTTATCTTCCGAGCTCCTAGAGAACATCCCACGGGGTTCTAAAACTCAATAGCTTTTCTAGCCCAAAGTTACAAAGCCTTTCCACAGTCCTACCAAACACATGATCAGGTCTGTTATAGCAATACCCACTCTGCTGGTACCAGCTTGTCTTATGGTTTCTCTTGCTGTGATGAAACACCATGACCAAAAGCAAGTTGTGAAGGAAGGGGTTTATTTGCCTTACACTCCCACATTGTAGTCCACCATTGAAGGAAGCCAGAATGAGAACTCAAACAGGGCAGGAACCTGGAGGCAGAAGCTGATGCAGAGGCCAGAGGAGAGCTGCTTACTGGCTTGTTCCTAAGGGCTCGCTCAGCCTACTTTGTTATGGAACTCAGGATCACCAGCCCAGGGGAGAGACTATCCACCACAGGCTGGGCCCTCTTTCATTCATTACTAATTAAGAAAATTTCCTACAGTCTAGCCTAGAGTCCTGTCTTATAGAGGCATTCTCTCAGGTGAGGTTCCCTCCTCTCAGAAGACTCTAGCGTGCGTCTAGTTGATCTAAAATTAACCAGTGCAAAGTTCTATTGGTAGAACAAATCTGAGCTCCTGCTTATGTAAATCAAGGTCTGATGCCCTTATTGTTTTGTTTTTCTATTGAAAATACCTTGTAGCAGATTAGAACTTCTCCAGAGGGCCTACCGCATCACCCCCAACATAGACTCCTATCCTGATGTTCTGCCGCCCTGGGTATCTGCCCTCATATTTGGCTCACACAGATAGTCTGTGTATCTTTAGTGGTCACCTCCATGTGCCAGTCAAAAGTGCAAAAGAAACAGAAAGGAAGAAGATAAAGCACATACCAACAGGATCGAAGGATGTTGATATTTCATTGGCCCAGTTTGGCTGCGGGAGATGCTAGGACATAGGGTATTTACTTGGACATGATGTCCCGTCTAATGGAAATGTTGAATAGAAGAAACGGCTGGGCATGGGGCAGATGTTTGGGGAGTGCTGGCCACAGTCACCAGGTAGGAATGAAGTCTTATGGACAAATCCATGGGGTTGGACATTACCCAAGGAGGATTGGTGTTGGGTTGAGGGGCAAGGAAGGAGAAAAGAGAGACGATACAGACAAATTAACTTTTAAATAAAGTACTTCATCACTGTTAAATGTTTTAGTATAAAACATTGTGAAATATTTCTCAACTACAAAGTGAAGTTCTTTTTTTCTAGTTCCGTGAGAATGAATTTATTGGAGAAAAATACAAAAGTATAACTTTATTAACATTTTCTAAATAAAAGATACTATAAATCACATGCATCCTTCTTGGTTTATAAATAAGACTGAGAAAAAGTAAAAGTTAAGAAACCTTTCTTAAATGTTTCCCGAGGGAATAAGAGATTTAATCAGATGTACCATAACTAGTATGCAATAATTATGATTTACTACTCTAATAATTGACACTGTTAGCAATCATTACATTTTCAAACTTTTCACTCATTGTTTAGTCTGAATTTCCACTTTTAGTTGTCTTTTGTTTGTTTGTTTTTGAGACCGAGTCTCCTGTAGCCTAAGCTTGCCTTGAACTCACTGTATAGTATAGCTGAAACTGGCTTTGAGCTCCTTCTGCCTCCACTTCCCCAGTGCTGGAATTCCAAGTTCAAACTACCATGTCTGACTTTAAACTGTCTTTTAGTAATATATAATTAAATATAAATATATAAATATAAATTACATTATAATATAAATTATAATATATAAATAGTATACAATATA